GAACCATTCAGAGGGATGCTCAAACTAACTTCTTGATGAGGAATCCCAGATGCTTAGCTGAGTCTCAGCTGGGGTCCTCAAAGTTTCCTAGGGGGTTTTATTATTTTTATATTTTCTTAAAACTATACAATATAAAATCTCAAATCTGAATCCGTACGTAGTGCTTGGGTGTTTCAGGGTGGTGGTGGTATTTAGGTTCCTATCCAACCCTATCCCAAATCCCCCAGGTAGTGGTTCCCAAATTGGTTCATGAGGCTGTAGCAAATATAACATTCCCCGAGGGCGGGGCAGGAAATTAAGGTCACAATGGTAGTCAGGGAAATGAGGGGTTGGTATGTGATCCAACAAGCTTGGAATCCACTTTTGAGGAAAGCCATCTATGTTTGTCTCTACTAAACTACTGTTCCTTTCTCTAGGTCGGTATCTTTTCTTGAATGCAATTGCCAATCAGCTGCGGTACCCCAACAGTCACACGCACTACTTCAGTTGCACCATGCTTTACCTATTTGCAGAGGCCAACACCGAGGCTATCCAGGAACAGATTACGAGGTGAAAGAAACATTTTGCTTCACTTCAGCTTTCCATTCTCCTTCCTTTTTAAATTTAAAGATTTCTCATCCTGAAGGCAGTTGCTCTGTTGTTAGACAGCAACTGTGCCCTACACAAAAATGTCGAATGCAATTTGGCCGTGCTGCAGTTGTAAACATCAGTGTCTTGCATACACTAAGATCTAACCTGAGTCTTACCTATCTGTTTTAATGTGGATTTCAGGGTTCTTTTGGAACGACTGATTGTAAATAGGCCTCACCCATGGGGTCTCCTCATTACCTTCATTGAGCTGATAAAAAACCCGGCATTTAAGTTCTGGAACCATGAATTTGTCCATTGTGCTCCAGAAATTGAGAAGTGAGTATGATGTAACTACAAGTAAACTCATACAAAATGGGCCACAAAGATTATCATTTAAGTTTGTTACTCTATATTCAAAAGTTTCTAAGTGGTCTTACGAATTGGGGGAAGGTAATTGTTTTTTTTGTTTTTTGTTTTTTTTCCCACAAAATGGTTCAAGCGTAGTGATGGTTGGAGATCAAAGAAGGCTTTGTAAGGACTAGGAGTAAACCTGTCCTGTGGTTCTGGAACTTCCTTGTGCTGCCTCCCTTGCCCAAATTGTGACTATATGATTCATGGAAGTGGGCTTCCATGTAACTTCTGAGAGTGAATCTCTTGTCAATGCTGTGCTGCCCTTCTGAAGTAGAGGGAGCTTTTGTTTGAAAAAGCTGAATTTGCTCCTCAGTCTGGAAGCCGCACTGTCAGATACCACGAGTATCTGACAGGACTGTCCAGCAGCACAGTAAATTAGTCTACTGTGGCCTAATTGCCATGCACATGCGGACAGTGACACTTTACTGTGTAGCAAATTAATCTGCTGTGTAGTAAAGCATCTTGCACCTGGTTACAGAGATCAGGGCACATGCTTGTGGCATGCAAAGGGACAAAGATGCAGTTGCTGCATTTTTTTTTTAGGCCTGGCGAATCACACTGAATGTGAACCCTGTAAAGTGCTGACTTGCTTGGACAGCACCGGTTGAGTTCTTGGTTAGGTGGATGATGGTGACTTCCTGTCGTGACAGGAAATCCTGATATGAAATTCTCCAATATGGAGAACTCGGACGAAACCTAGCTTTGCATGTAACCTTTTGCTTCTGTCCATGTTCAGGTTGTTCCAGTCAGTTGCACAGTGCTGTATGGGGCAGAAGCAGGCACAGCAAGTGATGGAAGGGACTGGTGCCAGTTAGATGACCTGCATCTTGTAAGCGTGCCAGCCTGGAGTTCCCTGTCCCGGCAAACCAACAGAAGAATCCTTAAGGCTCTTCCTGACCTTCCCAGCCCCCCCAATTTGGGTACACCAACAAACCTTTTGGTGATGTCTGTGTGGGCACGTTCCAAAGTTTCAAAACAATTTTTTTGACTCTTGGCCAAAACTCAGAAGATGCTGTGAATATCATTTTGAACTAGTGTAAATACACAGAACCGAGATGTTTGTCTGGACTTTTTGGGTTTGTGCAAATTGTGTTTAAAGGCAGGTGGATGACTGGCACCTGTCCAGCTTGTAATAAAGGGGCAGCTGCTGATGCCAAGCACTTGTCTGGGGCAGACCTCCTTGTCCTGACATTCCCGGACTCCCAAAGAATATTGAAAAGCCAGTTGAAATATTATGTAACTTATTTTTCTTTATGTGGATGGGGGGACCTTTAAATCACTAAGTTGTTTAAAAAAACAAAGTGGATGCATTGGAATTGGGGAATACTATGAGATACAAAGGGAGGGAGGGGTTGGGATTAAGGTCCAGGGTTGCTGTTTTTTTCTCCCTCCCCTCCCCTCCCCTTATCCCCTCCTCAACCCACATCAAATGCTGATGGACAACAAGGGGAGCAGTTGGAACACTCTTCCTTTCTGTTGAAGAGACACCTCAGGCCCTTTGGGAGAGGGTCAGCTGTTTTTAGTAAAGAAACCAGAGACCAGGCCTATAGCTTTTTTCCTTTATTTTTTTTCCTGACACTTGTAAATTTTTGGGGGCGGGGAGGGACATGATCTAGACCTGCCTCCTATGGCCACACAGTATAAGTTTGTAAAAAGAACAAAGGACCAATACAGCCCATTTTGTAAGGATTTTGAATGTTTTGTAAATGTATTGGTCCATGTGTTGTATTTTGTAGCCTTTCTAGTTCTTGGACTTTAGTTCTCCCACTTCTTGTATGTATGCATACTGTAGTTACACATTAAAGTCATGACATGCAGCAGGTGCCACTGTCCTTATTCTCTCTGCTACTGTGATATTGGATGCTTGAGGGTTTTCAAAAACGTCTTCACTCTCATCTTGAAATATCCCATACATACATATGTTGTGCTCTAGTATCAAGTTTTAAATCAGTATTTCCATCCCTTGAGCCAGTGTGGAAGAGAAGTTAAGCAATGATTAACTAGTCATAAATACTTTTCCTTTAAAAAAATATTGCAGTATAGCACTGAGAGAAGAGTGTTTACGAAGTTAATCACAAGATTGCAGGCATGCATTGTGCCATTATATTGTCAGAGGCAGACAACCTCAGTTTTGGACACCATCTTACTGCATCTCTAACGGACAGAACGTTGTTTTCTTATAGTTGACCGCTTTCTGAAGGGAGGTAAGAAAAAATGTAGATTAATCCCTTAGCTCAGTTGTTTTGAGAGGATTTACACAAGAAAAGCTGTAAATCTGATGTCATGGCTGTGTAAATAGCTTTCATTTATGACTATTTTAAAACACTAATCTTAACCTAGATGATTGTGTTAACGTTAATAGCTCCAAATATTCACTTCTGTGCTGCAAAAACTGATGATAGGGAAACTAATTCTTCCTTTAGTCATATGGGTATAGAGAAAGCTAGAAACTCCTTGGACATTTGGTTTATTCCCTCATTGGAAATACAGATGCTTTTATCTGAGGGTCTTTTTGTTAAGAGGACAAGGGAGCTTTTGTCTGCTCACTTGATGAGACGGTTTGCACTGTATCTTTATGGTTTCAAAGGGTCTCTGTTTTTTTACCGACTTAGAACTACCTAGAATCTCTTGCAGGGACATCTTAGTGTATTTTCCCCTTGCAGCTTGAAGGAATTGGCATGAGGTCCCAGATCTTCAAGATACAGGTGGCCAAGACAGCAGGCAACCATAACTGCATGTGAGACAGTGGTTCAGAGTGAACTCTTGATATTCCCAATACCTTCTGCTAGACTGTTCTTAGTCAAGCAGCTTGTCTGCAATACTCTACTCCTAGATAAAGGTGTGACAACCTCACTGTAGTTCCATACAACCAACAGAAGTAGGAGCCCTTTGTGTTAGAAGGGATTTAGTACTTGCACAACTACAGCTGAAATAAGAGGAGAAACTTTTGCCACCCTCCCACTCATCCCCCTGCCAGCTTGTTTTACATTAGGCTAAGGTACCAAACTATACCGAAACCCTGTGTCTGGTATTAAGGAACTAACTTTCTTTCCCAGCAGAGTCTTGGGCATTCCAAGAGCTGAAATGATCAGTGTCTTGTGTTTGCCTTCCAAGACCAAGTGCTTAGTATGGGCTGTGCTGAGGTTCATAGGTCTCTGGTTCTATACTAACACAGCTGCAAAGGGCTTCTATTTCTGCCCAATGCTGAACAAGGAAAAAAGTGGTGGGGAGGCCTGCAGCGAGCATCCACTTGCTTTTAGGACATGCCAGTTTTACCTGTAAAAGATGTTTCTTCCTATAATGGCAAACCTAAAACAACCTGTTTGGACAGGACTGCTACTACCAAGAAGGAAGCAGGCAAATAAGCCTTGGCTACATACCTAAAGTTAGCACCATGACTTACCACCAAAGGGCAGTGGATGGCTATTGGGGAGGGTTGTCTGAGTCTTTCTATTCCCCAGATTCATTGCTCAGTGGTAAAGGCAGAAGAAACTCAGACCCCTTGGCAGAACATAGCTGACTGACCACTGCAGACAACATCACCACAGTGGGAGATAAAGACCCAAGTGTTAGACTGGCATGTGCACAACCATGGAGGGCACCTTCTATTTAGAAGCTAAAGTGGACAGGGGCTCTGGTAAAGACTTCATCCTGCAATAGGTCTCCTGTGTGACTTCAGTCCTCCTTATTTACTCTAGCAAGTAAAACAGTCTTGTATCTTCCAAGACCTGCTTTCTAAGCTGACTTCTAGGCCTGTGCGAAGCAGATAGTAGTCACTTTGGTTTTGGCCAATTCAGGGGACAGTGATTCGGTGATTCAAATCACTGTCCCAAATCAATTTGGCAGTCTGATTCGGAGATGTGGCCAGAGCCAAATCAAACCAGGGCCCCAGCCCCTGCCTGCCCCAGCCTCCCAGCTTTTTTTTGTTTGTTTTTTTTTTTTTTTTAAAGCCCAGCACTCAACCCCTGGTGGGGGGGAGGGGGGGGGGTGCATGGGCATCCCCCACCTGTTCTCTTAGATTTTTTTATTTTTTATTTTTTAAAGCCCTATCATGGGCTGCCTGGTTGCAGGGGGGCAACCCCCACCCTGTATAAGGGGCTCTGCCACAAGCTCCCAGAAGCCCTGAGGCTGTTGCAGCAGCCAAAGAGTGCAGGGCTCTTTTTTTTTTAAGAACCGGGGGCTGGGAGAGGATGAGGGCTCATGGCAGAGCCCCCCCCACCCCCCTGCAGTGGGAGGCAGCAGGGATCATCCCCCTGCCTGGCAGCAACTGGTGGATATGGGGCTTTTTTTGTATCATAGTACTATAGTACTATTACCAACTAGCATCCAAGTACATTTTTGTTTTTTAAAGAACCTGGATGCTACTGAAAACCTGATTATTTCATAGCTGCTTCTTGACCTGCAAAAGGATGACACTGGAGAGGTTAAACCATCATTAGTTTATCCAGACTGAGTTTCTTTAGCCTAAAATGGCAAAGTATGAGCTGCCCGAAGAGATGGTACCAGCAGATCCAGTAGTTGTACAGGTTCTTACTGCACTATTAAAGCTTGATCTCTGAGGTGAGCATTTATTTTGCAGCTGCTCTTAAGGTTTCCCTTGCAGATATCCATTTAAGGCATAGAAACCTGGAAGAGCTGTGGCTTCAATAAAGTATTGGCCTTAAAGGGGAATTAATCCTTCATTTACAGGAATAAACAATAAAACAGCTCAAATATGAGCAAGGCAAGAACTGCTGGTATTCTCTGCTACTTTGCTATGTTGGTTCCTGATCTCACAGGAGATTTAGGGGGGAAGTTTTTACCTCCAAAGGTTGGAAATTAGTGGCCACATTAAATCACTTCCACATCCTTAAGGCAGGTCTTTTATATAAAATATATACAAGAGGTAGACAAAAAGCAAATCCAGAAAACCTAGAGACTTCATTTAAATCTTGCCCTCTGCTCTTCCTGAAGCCCAGTGGCCATACCCACCATTGGCCCTAGTACAGATGGTACAATGCTCCTTTGCCTGTGGCCTGACCCCAGCTGCACTTCCAGACTGCATTTGTGCTACCTGCTATGCAGTTCTGTCTCTACTGCACCAACTCCAGCAGCTGGTGCAAGATTTTCTTTTGCCCATAGCGTACATGTAAGGCTTGCTGCTCTCTCTGACTCAGTTTGCCATAAGCCACCTTGTCATTCAGCAAGTCCTGCTCTGCATTCAAGTCTGAATTATAAGATGCAAGGGTCAGCAGCACGCTGTTATGGAGCAACTTCTTCCGCGAGGCTTTCAGCTTGCGTATCATCTCATTAGACAGCATGCTCTCCTCCTCCTCGCTGGTATCTTCCTCCCAGCCATCTTTCTCTTTAAACTCTTCAAATTCTTCCACAGACATGCAGAGCACCTACAACCAACCACACCCACGCATACTCATTGTGATCTTGCACTAGAGAAGTAATGCTGACAGTTGGGACCTTGATCCTAAGGTCTGTTTTCAGCTTTTGACCCCTAATGGATTTTTGTTCCCCCCAAAAATATAAAGACTGAGAGTGACTAATAATGAGGGCCTTCAAAGATGTAAAATTTATGGCAATGTTGATATGTTAATTACTCCATAAATTGCATACTCATGCATTCAGCCAATTTATAGCATGGTAAAAAGGCAAATCAGTCACAAAGGGATTGCACGTTATTTGTAGAACCTCTTTGTGACTGGTTTGTCTCGTACTTTAAATGTTCCAAATCCAGAGTTGTCCTGAGCTGGTGCTGACAATCCCAGGGTCCAGGAAACAGCCACCTCCTGACTGATTCCTGGCATGGATTGATGTTTGAGACGGGGCATAAAATTCCTCAGCTCCCAGTTACACCATTATATTGATATCTGCTGTGGGGTGGGTGTAAGGTTAACTGCCCTTCAACTGGGGCACAAATAAAATGGGCTTAGCAAAGCATACTTACTGATTTTCAGTTAAGGCACAGTGCAGAAAGGACTGTAGAGAAGGTAAGGCTGGTATCTTTTTAAAGCTCCAGGCTCCATATTAAGAAAAAATTAATTCAAACTGGAGCAGGTACTCCAGAAGAATAAAACCTGGTTTTAAGCTAAAGGACAGTTTTGGCGCACACATGGATATAAACTGACCATAAGTAACCTAACCTAGGCTGGTATTAGAAACTTCTTAACTGTGACAAATACTATTGTAAATCAGCCTACCAGAAGCTAGATCATGTTATGGAAGATGCTGCATGAGATACAGAGCAGGGGCCAGGATTCACTGACTGAGGAGATCCAGCCACTTGCGCGCTAAGATCTAAACACCTGCAAATGTTTTCACTTAAATTTGGGCCTATGACATTGCATTGAAAAAACAAGTAAAAGCTTTGCCCAGAAGGAGACAATTGCATGGTTCTCTGTCAGGATGTTTCAGTGCTGAAAGCAGGCCTGACTGCTATTGCAGAGGCAAGGAGAATGTTTGAAATTGAAACTTTTGTGGGGGCAGATGTTTACTAACTTCCTGCAAAGGAATTCAGTCAGCCAGTGACTCTGTAATTGTAGCTGTCTGGGAAAGCAGCCTAAGTTGCCCAGGCTTTTGGAGAATGCTAATCCAGGGGCCAGGATCAGTGCTGAGAGTAGAACCCACAACTGCCTCACTGGCATGGAGAATCACTCACCTTCAGGGTCATGGACAACTCTTCCTCAGTTAACACCTCCTCCCAGCCAATCACAAAAGCACCTTCCTCCCCCACCATCTCCATCTGGCAGAGGAAATCCCACTGCTCCGACACCAGCTGCTGCTCCGCTGCTGTTCTGGCACCTGTGGATGACAGGACACATCAACCAAGCATGTGCTCCCTGTGAGGAGCAAGAGATTTACACACCAGCCCAGAATTTTCAAAGCCATGAATGATTTCGGATGCCTGCCTGGAATTGCTGATCCCCACCCCAGGAACCACCCACCCTGCACAGTCCAGCCCGGCCCAGAGGCCATTCCTGGCAAGGTGTTCAGAACAGGCTGTCCTGCTCACTGCAAGTACACGTGGAACATCAACTGCTGTGGGCAACTCACGTTCCAACGCTGCTTTGCGCACTGTCACCATCTGGATGTCAGCTGTATCGTTGGTGTTGCCTGGGTATGGCTCAGCAAAGCCATACATATGCACAAGTTGCCAGTTTGCCATCTGCCCATATGTATTGAAGATCTCTTGCCCTTTGCAGACAGGCTGTGTCGTGACCATTCTCAGGCACTCCTGCACATAGAGAAATGGGACAGGAGCAGAGTACAGGCCATTGGCCTCACAATGTGGTGACTATTCCCTGGCTCCCCACAACAGACTTTATGGTGATTCTGGGGCACATCAAGAAACCTACTGGCAGCCTCCCTCCCCCTTAAGAAAGAAGCTACTAGCTCTTCCCCAGCATCCCAGCTGCTGCCTTGTGCAGAGCAAGCGTCACATTACCTGCTAACCCCTGGGCTCCTACCCTGCTTCTGTAACATATGCACCTTTTAGGTGGCTCAGCTGATCACCAACTCCTTTCCCTGATGTTGCTTGTCCTTGTTTTATAGGAAAACTTTAGCCTCTGTGTAGGTTATTATTAGGCTAGTGCTATTCACTACCCCTCTGCAGGCTGGAACATTAGTCTCCTAGAGGCAGTTGCCCCAATATGCCAACAGACTGATGTGTCCTAGTGTAGATTCCTCAGAGTCCCCATTCTACTGGCACAGACCGTAAAGACACTGGTGGATCCAATGGCTGGAGTGGGGAGTAGAAGTTTGGCATCCAGAGCAAAGTGAAACCTTTGATAACCAGGCCACCAAAGTGACAGAGTACAATCACCAGTTCCTGGGCTCAACAGAAGGCCAAACTGGGTGAAGTCTGGTGGCCTGGTAAACTGGTGGTCAGACTATCAGACCTAGGAGTGCCGTGTGGTTTTATAATCTGTGAACCTCTAGAGAGAGACATGCACTACAAAAGCAGCAATCTCCACCGAAAGGGAGATGGACAGAGGGGAGCCGCAGCACCAGCCTAGAGACATTCCAGTTAGACTGGCCAGATAGGCGGCGGTGGCGGGGGGAGGAGTAACAAACCATGACACCCATCTGTGTTGGAACTTGCTCTCCAGTCTCATCTCAGTCTACTCACCGGGGAGTGCTCCAGGTTGGCATTGTTACTGGCCACATGATTCAAGATGTCAGCCATTGGCACCATCATTGGAGGGTTGGGCTCCTTCTCATCCTCATCTTCATCCAGAGGCTCCTGAAAGCTGTTTGGAAGGGAAAGGAGGGATGAGGACGTGCCTATTCTATGCCTGGCAGAACAAAGTCAACCTGGGCCTGTGACTAAGAGACTAGCCTGCCCTCTCAAATGGCAGAGGGCCATAGGTGGATGGTGTAGAGGATGTAATGGCTTCAAAGCCTCTTCCACCACCCACCCTTTGTTGCCAAAGCATCAGCGATCCTTAGAGGACGTTCCTTGTCCACCCAGGAGAGATGGCTGGTGGCTTCATTTCAGGCCTCCTGTAGCTGGCTCCATTATCCACAAGCGCCCTTCTCCCTCTCACCTATAGGCCATGACGAATGCCACCAGTCTCTGGTATAGCTCCAAGGTGTGCAGCTTCGGATCAAAGATGTCTGGGTGGGACTCCATGAAAGGCAGGATGAGGGAGGTGTACTCCAGGTGGATGTTGGCCAGGTCTTTGTCCACTGCTTCTAGGATGCCCGTGCCCTGCAGCAGCTGTACTCTCTCTTCTTCAGGCCTGTATCCGAGGCAGGTCAGACAGAGATTGTGTTACCTCTCCCAGTGAATCTCCTGATTGCCACACAGGCTCCCACTCTAACTAGCACACTCACCCAAAACACCATGGAGCATGACAACCACCAGGGACAGACTGCCTACAGAGGCTGTTACCTACCTAACGGAACAAGCAAATGCACGCGCGTTCCCAGCCCACTGCCACTAACCTGTGAAGATACAGCGACTTGGCCAAGGCTACAGAGCAGAGCGAAGAACAACCCAGGTCTGTAAGCCTCAGGACCACATGGATTCTCCATAATTAACAGCACCAGAGTCCAGAACACCTGCTCCAGGGGCAGGAGCAGTAACTGGTGGATTGCAACAGCCTGATGCTGTCACATACTTTAACCTTACCAGAACATGGGGTGATCCAAGCTCTTCAGGTCAGGCCAAAGTGAGAGGTAGGGCTGCCAATATGAGTTTCTGGCTGTGTACTCATACAGCAGGGACAGGAGGAGAGGCACCCAGCCAGACTGACTCTGCAAGGATGCTTGGCCTAGAGGGCCAAACACAGGAAAGAAGGAAATACACTGAGGTACCCAGGGTTTCTCTCTCTTCCCCCAAGACCAGGGTCTCGGCTTCTAAGGATCAAACCTACCCCAGAAACCCAAGGCTAAGGCTGGCTAGAAATCAATTGTGTTTCAGGGTTTGGGAATTCACTTTTGTTTGACACTAAAATAAACAGGAACATCTGAAACTGTTCAGCGTGGCATTGTAGCAAAGTATGGTTGGAAAAGACCTTGTAAGATCTAGTCCAACTCTCTGCCCAAGGCAGGAGTGTCCCAGAATAAACCATCTCAGCCAAGTGTCTGTCCAACCTTCTTTTGAAAATTTCCAAGGATGGAGATGCCACAGCTTCCCTAGGCAGCCTGTTCCAATTCTTGACCACCCTCATAGTCAGAAAGTTCCTCCTAATCTTCAACCTAAATTTCCTCTGCTGCAGCTTGTGGACATTGCTCCTAGTTTTGTCTTCTACAGCTATAAAGATATGCTTATCTTTATCCTCTCTCTAATCATCTTCAGGTATTTGAAGACTGTTATCAAATCCCCCCAGTCTTCTCTTCTCCAGGCTAAATAATCCTAGTTCTTTCAGCCTTTACTCATAAATCTTGCTTCTCAGGCCCCTGATCATTTTTGTCACTCTGCACTGAACTTTCTTCTAATTTGTCCACATCCTTCTTGATTTGTGGAACCTAAAACTGGACACATTATCCCAGGTGAGGCCTCCCCAGTGCTGAACAGAACAGAAGAATCACTTCCCTTGATTTGCAAATGACACTTCTGTTAATACAATCCAGCGTATCGACTGGTTGGCTTTTTTTCACAACAAGAGTATACTGTTGGCTCATATTTAGTTTATGGTCCACTGTAACCCCCAGATCTTTCTCTGCAGTACTGCATTTCTATTGTACTGTACTGTATCCCCCAGTCTGCAGTTGTACATGCAATCATTCTATTTCAAGTGCAGGACTTTGCACTCTCCCTTGCTGAATCTCACCTGATTGGTTGTGAACCATTTTTTCCAGTCTATCCAGGTCATTCTGGATCCTAGCCCTGCCCTCCAGTGTCTGCTTGGTGTCGTCTGAAAATCTGCTAAACATACACTTGACTCCATCATCCACAAACTGAGAAGAGGGAGCAAGAGACCCAACCTGGAGCAGCCAGCAGGCCTGGGGGCAGGGACGAGATTCAGCCTTGTCAGATTCACACTTGATCCTAGGTGTCTCATATCTGTGCCACTGAGCTGTGGGGTATCCTGGGTCTCCCTGCTCTCATCCTAGGCTGGAGGAAACTGCTCAATAAGTGTGGACAAAGCATGATTTTGCCAGCAACTATTTCCATTTCAACCTATCAGTATTTTTCAACAGAAACATTTTGCTGGAAAGCTCCTGATGGGTGATGCTCAGGGGTGGGGTGGTTGGGAAGGTGAGGGCAAGAAGAGACTTACCCACCAATCCCCTACCCTCTTTTGTTTGTTAGAAGTCCTGCAAAATTACAGCACCCTGGTCCCAATATCCAGCTCAGACCCACTATTGTCTCCCCTGCACCTGAAGCAGAAGAGGCCCCCCCTGGGTGCCCCCCTCCTGTAGAGAGCCCCCAGAAACAACTGTCTCAGTGATGGGATGTTCAATCTAAGCTGATGGCCAAGCTCCTGGGGCATCACGTACCTTCCTCCAAGAGGGCCTGGATGGAGGTGGTGTGCTGGGAAAGGAGGACTGCCCTTGGAATGGTGAAGAGGACTTCTCCAACCTCCAGGTCCTCTCTGGCCAACATGCCATAGTCTGCCACGGTGCCTTCTCTGCTCACACAGACCTAGGAGGAGGCAGGAGACTTTGCTGGGTGACCCCAGTGACAAAATTCCAGCCCCAGGAATTTGATAGGGCAGCTCTGAAGTGCTGCAAGTAAAGCCACAGCCAAAGGTTGGAGACTAAATCAAGCTACTGTCCACAGAAACTTGCTCCCAACCCCCAACAGGAGGCCAGTAATCCACTGTGTGCTGCAGCCATCCACCAACACATGAGAGGGTAAGTGGGAATTGCCTTGTTACCCCTCACTTTGCCTAACTGTTGCCCTCTCAGCTACCCCTGCCCCATCCCACAGTGGGAGCCCCGCTACCCTGTTTTCCTGCCAGCCCAGTGAGGTAACAGTTTCAGCTGTATAAGCCAAGCTCAGCCTCTCTATGACACACAGGTGTATGGGTCTTATTCGCCATCCATTCCCTGCCCCAGCAAGGCTCCCTGGACACCCAGCGCCATCATCACGATCTCCTACCTTGGGGCTGAGCTCCAGACCAACCTTCTTACACCAGCCCAGGAAGCCAGAGATGGCATCAGTGCTGCAATCCTCAGCAGGACTGTTTTCTGCCACCACCTGTGAACAGAAAAGCAAGTCAAGCTTTGGGAGCACAGACAGTCCAAGCTGGGAGATGCCAGGGCAGGAGACATCATAGGGACCTTGCCAAGCTCCTGCTTAGCCACATTAGCTGAAGAGAAGCAGCACAATGGCCCAGTGGAGACAGCAACCAACTGGATATGAGAAAACTTGGTTTCTAGCTGTAGCTCTGACCTGAACAATCTGGCAAGAGCAAATCCCCTCCTTTAAACAATGCCCAGGGCCCTACTGGATTCATGGCAGAAGTGGGCTGCACTGCGGCTCCTTTAATCTAGCAGGTTCCCCTGTACCCCCCTGCTGCTGACTGGTTGAGGGGCCTGCTGGCAGCTCACTCCTGATTGGCAGGGAAGCAAAAACTGCACTTTTAAACTTGGGGCCATCAAGTCCTTTGGGCTGGGACGCAGCAGTGACACTTCTGGTGTGCAACCAAGCCGTTCCTCCTCCCACAGGGCAAAGGACCCTCCCTGCTCTGCCCAGAAGAGGAACCAGCCAGGAGCAATGCCAGGACCCCATGAAACATTAAGCTTTTTGGGCCAGACCCTGCAGGCACGGCAGGGGTACGAGGCTGCTCTGGTTCCTCTGAGCTTCGTTGAGACCGTTCCTGCCCCTCCCTGCGACGCCAGCGCAGACCCATCTGCCATGCACACGCCTGCGCCCGCCCGCGTTTATCTGCCTGCCCGGCTGCCACGAGCAGCAAAGAGCGGCATCTCTCGCTCCGGGCCTGCGCCGCGCC